GGTACAAATCTCCAATGATGAATGTCATTATACTGTATACCTAAAATGTGCCAATAAAATTAATTTTTAAAAATATATATATAACCAAATGCTCCTTGGTTGTTTACATTCTCTGTTAGCAATTTAGTCTCCAAATAGCTGGATGTGTCACTGTAGGCCTATATTCCCAGTACTCGGAGAGGCTGAGGTAGGAGGATCACAAGTTTGAGCTCTGCCTAGGCAACTTAGCAAATTAGTGAGACACTGTCTCAAAATAAAAAAGAAAAAAGAATGGACTGGGGATGTAGCTTAGTGTGAAAGCCCTGGGTTCAATCCCTACCACCACAAAACAAACAACCATTGGGAGCATATAATAAGTAGCAGTTTAATGAGATCATACCATTTACAGGGTAAATGTTACATTTTAAAATCCATCTTCAAAATTAGTAAAAGGTAGGACACATTTTAATACTGATACAATGGCAGTAACAGCTTTGCAAATATTCATATATATGATTTCTATAGCACTTTTCTTATGAACCTTTATCCCACAAGAATGGTCAAATTAGCCAGGTGTGCTGCATGCCTGTAATCCTAGCACTTGGGAGGATGAGGCAGGAGGACCACATCAAGCTCAAGTGGGCTACATATTGAGTTCAAGGCCAGCCTGAATCACATAGTGAGACCCTGCCTCAAAAAACAAAATAAGGGGGCCGGGGATTTAGCTCAGTGGTTCCGCCGCCTGCCTTGCAAGCGCAAGGACCCGAGTTCGATCCCCAGTACCAAAAAAACCCCAACAAAACAAAACAAAAGACAAAATAAATGCCAGGGATTTAGCTCAGTGGTTCCGCCGCCTGCCTTGCAAGCGCAAGGACCCGAGTTCGATCCCCAGTACCAAAAAAACCCCAACAAAACAAAACAAAAGACAAAATAAATGCCAGGGATTTAGCTCAGTGGTTCTGCCACCTGCCTTGCAAGCGCAGGTCCCAAGTTCGATCCCTGGTACCCAAAACAAACAAACAAACAAAAAAACAAAATAAAGCAAAAGAATGGTCAAATCATTTAGATTACATTGGTACAGTACATAATGGTTTGTTAATATTATAAACATAAGTGCCCCATAAAAAATATTAAAGTAGCTATCATGTTTTTAAGTAAAACAACTTCTACTATAAGCATATATGTCTCTTACTTTACTATTTCATTTTCAGCCATAAATGTGTTGTAAACATACACGTGTGTCTCTTATATGCTAAATATTGTCCCCAGATCTGCTTTCCAACATCGCTCTATTTGGCACCTCAAAGCAGTATTTTTCTGTGGAAATATAGGCATTTTGGAGAAGCTGCTAAATTATCTTTGCAGCCTAAGCCAGTCATGGCAAACCTGTAGCACACGTGCCACAGTGGGCTGTTTGTATGACTGGAAGCTCTAAAAGGTTCATCGTCACTGGTAAGCTAACTGGAGGATATTTCAAGGATATCATCTATATAGTGGCTTCTTGTCAGACTAGAAAGTTCAGTGAAGGTTGGGGATTTAGCTCAGTGGTTCTGACACCCACCTCGCAAGTGCAAGGACCCAAGTTCAATCCCCAGTACCCCCCAAAAACAGAAAGTTCAGTGAAGATCAGGGGACTAGGGAAGTAGCCTAGCGGTAGAACATGAGCCTACCATGTGCAAAGCCCTGGGTTTGATCCCCAGTACTGCAAAACAGCAACAATAAAAAATCTAATCTCGGGCCAGGGATTTAGCTCAGTGGTGCCATGCCTGCCTCACAACGACAAGGTCCTGAGTTAGATCCCTGGTCTTGCAAAAAAAAAAAAAAAATCTAATTGTGTCCCTTCTTCTACAATACTTAGCACACATATGAGCCAGATCTTGGTTGAAATTGTAGTAGAGTTTACTTCCAAGTAGACACATCTGGAAAACTGGGAGCAGAAATACTTAGCAACTTTGCATGAGTATGACTAAGAAGGTTGCTAGGCTAAATATAAGATACTAAGTTAAATATGAATTTCAGATAAATAACAAAAAAGTTGGCCTTGTTGGGGAATCAAACCCAGGACCATACATGTGCTAGGCAAGTACTCTACCACTGAACTAGACCCCAGCCCTGAATACTTCTTCAGTGTGAATATGCCCCTTTCACTATTTGGGACATATTTCTACTAAAAAAAATATTATCTGTAGGTTTGGAGAGTAGCTCAGTGGTAAAGTCCATGCTTGGATCTCCAGGAATCCCTCAAAAAATTATTGCTATTTCATACAACATATTTATACTTAGAAGTTAGCTGTTGTTAATATGAAATTCAAATTTAGTTGGGCATCTTGCATTCTTATTTGCTAAATCTGACAAGTCTAGACTGGTAAAGAGAATAAAATCCAGTGAAATGTGCATTTTTATATTGTTACCGAACATACAAGCTGATGAGAACAGGGAACTGGGTCTCACACTGAACCTACCATGGACTTCAGAAAATATATAGGAGGGTGCTGTGGGAAATAGAAGGTTCATGTTGGAGTCTTCATGAAATTTTTATTTAGCTATGTGCATTTGGACAGCAAATATAAAAGTAGGGAATATAAGGGCTGGGGTATAGCTCAGTGGTAGAGCACATACTTAGCATGTGAAATTTTGGGTTCCATTTCTAGCATTAACATGAACAAAAGGAGTAAGGAATATCTTGGACTACAGCAAGTTATACAGAACTACCTACCCAGGGTGCTAGAAATGATACATTACCATTTTTAAGATCACATTGGGTCTTTTGCTTCAAATTTTTTGGAAAATAGTTATACTTGGATGAGGAGTGGTCTACTTTATTTCTATGCAAATAAAATCTAGGAGGTCTTTTTTGTAGATCACATTTGTAGCAAGCAATGCATGAGCTTTATGGGACAAAAGCCTTTTCAGGCTGGCATACATGGTGGCACGTGCCTATAATCCTAGAACTCAGGAGGCTGATGCAAGAGGATTGCTGAGGGTTCGAGGCCAGCTTGGGTTACACAATAAGTTCAAGGCCAGACTGAACTACATAGTGAGGCCCTGTCTCAACCCTCCACCCTAAAAAAGTATTTTCAGTTGCATGAATAAATAGGATGAATAGGAATCAGACTATTGTCTTTTTTTGTTGTTTTTGGGGGGTTTTTTGGGTACCGGGAATCAAACTTGGGACCTTGTGCTTTCGAGGCAGGTGGCGGCACTACTGAGCTAAATCCCTGGCCCCTGTTGTTGTTTTTGAGAAGGGATTTCACTATGTTGCACATGCTGGTCATAAACTTATCAGCTCAAGTGATCTTCCTGCCTCAGCCTCCCAAGTAGCTGGGACTACAGGCATGTGCCACCATGCCGGACTATTATCAGACTTATTTTGAGATAGAGTGTCACTAAGTTACACAGCCTGGCCTTGAATTTATGATGCTTCTGTCTTAGCTTCCTGAGTACCTAGAACTATAGGTATGCACCACCATACCCAGCTTCAGCATTTTTTCTTAAAGTTCTAATTGCACCTGTACAATATAAACTGGATTTCAACAACCTCAATGTAACCTAAATTGGGTGATTCCAGGGTAAACACCACTTTGCAGACTGTATTTTCCCATCTGATTCTTTCACCATCCTGCAAATTAGAAAACACCCAATATGCACAGGTTCCACACATACTCTGAGTCTTCAAATGGAATTATATTAGTATATTTCAGCACATTCAATATTAAGAAAAGATTTGTTGATTTTATCTGTATATTTGATGGATCATTACATGGAGTCTGGCAGAGTTGGCATCAGTTTTGTTCATCAAAGCTGCTTGTAGAAAGTGGCAGAGTTTGAGTTGGGCTTCTAGGGTGAGCCAGCTATGGAGGAAAAAAAAAATTATGTTCTTGTGGCCAACGCAAATCTCATTCCTCATTAACAGAACCCTATTTGTTGTTGTTATTGTTGTTGCAGGATAGCACAGAGTGTAGAGTCTAAAAATCACTTTTCCCAGATTTCCTAATGTAATCCAAAATTCCTGGTTAGAGCCTCTCCAGAGAGATGAGGGGAAGGGTGTGGTGGCACAGGCCTATAATCCCAGCACTCAGGAGCCTGAGGCAGGAGGATGGTCACAAGTATGAGTCAGCATGGGCTACATATAGTAAGTTCAAGCCCAGCCTGGAATACACAGCAAGACCTTATCTCAAAACAAAAACCAAAAAAAGAAAAGAAGGTATGGTGGCATATTCCTGTAATCCTAGCTACTTGGGAGACTGAGGCAGGAGGATTGCTAGTTTGAGCCCAGGCCAGGCAACTTAGCAAGACCCTGTCTCAAAATAAAAGATAAAAAGGGTAGGGACTTAGCTCAGTGCAAATACCCTGGGTTCAATCCTGAGTACCACATACACTCCCCCGAGAGGGGTGGGGGAGCTGGGACATAGCTCAGTGATAAAGCACTTGCCTGAAATGTGTCAGCACCACACACGCAGGCAAAAGAGAGCTGGAGGAATAACTCAGTGCTAAAAGTGCTTCCTTGTTACACACAAGGCCCTGGGTTCAAATCCTAGCATGGCAGGAAAAACAAAGGGAGAGAGAGAGAAGAAAAATCTCTTTAATGAAGCCACTGTGGCCACATTACCATTATCCATAGCCAAATGCAAACAGTTACTTCAGAGTTAAAGGAAAAAAGAAACCTAAGGGCTGGGTGGAAATTGTGTATGTGGTACTTTTATCTGTTCTCATATTTCCCAACCAATTGTGCTAATTATGGGGTGGGACGGAGACAGCAAGGATCCTAGAGCTAAAGAGAGGAAGCAAGGGGCTGAGTCCTTCATGGAGGCCTCTTCCCTTTGCCCCCTGCCTTTCATGATTTTTGCTATCACCAAGGCATGTTGGGATGGGGGGTTAGAATCTAGCTGGATGCTGCAAGAGGAGGAAGGAACTTGGTCACACATCCAAGGAAGGCCATGGAGTGTCAAGAAGGACCAAACTGATTGCCAAGAGGGACACCAGCAAAAGACATTGGGACTACGGATTGAACCTAGGGGCTTTGCACTGAGCTATATCATTACCCCTTGAAAATTTTTAAATTTTTCTTTGAGACAAGGTTTCACTAAGTCACTGAATTAACCAGGTCAGGCCTGAACTTGTGATCCTCCTGTCTTAGCCTCCTAGAGTTCTGGGATTATAGGTATGCACCATCACACCTGGCAGACACTTTAAGTGAGGAACAAAGGGAAGACAATGTTGGGGTGGGAGGGTGCTGGCAGTAGAGTCTGTGATGTGTCTCTGGTCCAGGAATAGAAGGAACTATTTCAAGTCAAAGAGCCGAGCAGCCTAGGGTCCCAGGGCTCTAGCCGGGGAGGCAGAATATGGCCACTCTTCACAGGTCCAATGACAGCAGCGATCAGAAGAGTGAACAGAACAAACAGGTTCGGGCCGGGGTCCCTCCTCCCTGTGTCACAGCCACAGTCTCTTACTGCTTGGCTCCTGGAATAGCCTATGATCCCTCTCAGCATGGGACCCTTACACACACTGTTCATCGCACTCAGAACTTTCTCCCACTGACATTCATGGTGGGCCCACCCCTTTCCAGTTAATGTCTAACCATCTTTCAACTCTCACTTCAGGCGCCATCACTTCCAGGAAAATCCTTCTTTTTTGGTACCGGGGATCGAACTTGGGTCCTTGCGCTTGGTGGGCAGGCAGTGGAACCACTGAGCTAAATCTCCAGCCCAGAAAATCCTTCTTAATCTTCAAGTTCTTCTATGGGTTCCCACAAAACCTTAGTCATTTTCTTCATAGGGCTTAGTACAATGCGAAAGGAAACAACGATGGGATTATTTCATTGTCTACTTTCCCTACTAGACTGGAAGCTCCAAGACAGCAGATCTGTGCCTGCTTTTGCGAACCACAACCACAGCACTCTACCACAGTGGCTAGCTTAAAGGAAGTCTTTAAGAAATACTTATTAAAGGGCCGGGGATTTAGCTCAGTGGTTCTGCTGACTGCCTTGAAAGTGCAAGGTCCCGAGTTTGATCCCCGGTTCCAAAAAAAAAAAAAAAGAAATACTTATTAAAAAGACTGAACGCCAGGCATGATTGTACACACCTGTAATCTCAGCACTTGAGAGGCTGAGGCAGGAGGATCGCTGTGAGTTCAAAGTCAGCCTGGGCTACACAGTGAGTTCAATGCCAACCTGAACTACATAGCCAGACACTGTCTCAAAAAAAAAATTTGATATAATCAGGCAATCAATGACAAAATGGAGATGATAATTGCAGCAATATCATATAGAATTCTTTTCTCTCTTTTTCTTAAGGAATTTTATGAAGTCTAAGCCAGGCATGGTGGTATACACTTGTAATCTCAGCACTCTGGGAAGCTGAGGCAGGAGGGTTACAAGTTTGAGGCCTATGGGCTATATAACAAGCTCAAGGCTGGCTTGGACTACACTGGAAACCCTATCTCAAAAGCTGGAAAAAAAAAGAAAAAGGAGAGGGGAGAATTTATGAAGCCTAATTATTAAAGTTCTCTGCAAAGCATAAGGTGCCATAAAATTATCCTTATTATTATTTTTTGCTTGTTTGGGTTTTTTGGTACCAGAGATCGAACTCGGGTCCTTACACTTGCACAGCAGGCGGTGAAACCACAGAGCTAAATCCCTCGCCCAAAGTAGCTTTCTTAATGATAATAATGATAATTTGGGCCGGGCATTTAGCTCAGTGGTTTCGCCACCTGCTGTGCAAGTGCGAGGACCCGAGTTCGATCCCCGGTACCAAAAAAAAAAAAAAAAAGAAAGCTACTTTAAGGGACTGGGGATTTAGCTCAGTGGCACCGCACCTGCCTCACAAGCACAAGGTCCTGAGTTCGATACCCAGTACCAAAAAAAAAAAGCTACTTTAGATTGTGATTCTAAATAAAGTGTTTTGCCAGGTATGGTGGCACATCCCTGTAATCCCAGCACTCAGGAGGCTGAGGCAGGAGGATCACTGTGAGTTCAAGGCCAGCCTGGAATACATAGTGACTTCAAGGCCAGCCTTAACTACATAGAGAGACCCTGTCTCAAAACACCAAATAAATAAATAAATAAATAAATGGTTTTATTTAGTTAGTTAGCACTGCTAGAAATTGAACCCAGGGTCTCACATATGCTAAGCATGTACTTTTCCACTGGCTATACCCTTAGTCCCTATATAAATTATCTTCAATAGAAGGGATAATATGGGCTGGGGATTTAGCTCAGTGGTGCCACGCCTGCCTCACAAACCCAAGGTCCGGAGTTCAATCCCCAGTACCAAGAAAAAAAAAAAGAAGGGAAAATATGGAAACATATTTTGTACACAGGGAAGGGAGAGCGTGTAAGCAGGAGAGGGGATCAGATATAATAAAATTTATTAAAAATAAATAAATAATTTTCAAGAAAAATAATTTTTTTTTCTCACAGGCTTACTTGAAATTTTTTCCTCAAGGCCCGGGTCATTACAGGGGTAAGTCCAGTTCCTGTTTCCATATTTTCCTTATTGATCAGAGGCGTTCCTCCTGGGCTCCTGCAAAAATATTAAAAATATTAGGAGCTGTGTTTTATGCTTACTTTTCAAATGGATTTGGAAAACATAAAGACCAGAGACTCTATTACCTCTCCACATTGACTTTTCTAAGAAGCTTCCGAAGATCTACCTGGCTTTTACCTGGAGTACTGATAAAATAAAAACATAAACATTAGAACGTGCCACATTTCATCACTTCTCCTAAACAAAGTAGCCATTATTATAGGCAACGTCCTAGAATGTAGCTCTACTTTTTTGGGGGGGGTGGGTACCGGGAATCGAAATCGGGATCTTGCGCTTGCGCAGCAGGCGCCGGAACCACTGAGCTAAATCCCCAGCTCTATAGAATATAGTTCTACACATACTGCGCCTGAGCATGAGCCCCAGCCTTTTCCCCCCTGTAGCGCTGCTAGGCCTACAGGTCTGTGAGGAATCGCGTAAGTGGATCTTTATTCCACAGGATGGGGGTTTGTTAAAGTTGTCAAGAATAAGGCCTACTTTAAGAGATACCAAGTGAAGTTTAGAAGAAGACGAGAGGGCAAAACTGATTACTATGCTCGGAAATGCTTGGTGATCCAAGACAAAAATAAGTACAACACACCTAAATACAGGATGATAGTTCGTCTAACTAACAGAGATATCATTTGTCAGATTGCTTATGCCCGTATTGAAGGGGATATGATAGTCTACGCAGCATATGCACATGAACTACCAAAATATGGTGTGAAAGTTGGCCTAACAAATTATGCTGCAGCATGTTGTACTGGCCTGCTGCTGGCCCGCAGGCTTCTTAATAGGTTTGGCATGGATAAGATCTATGAAGGCCAGGTGGAGGTGACTGGAGATGAATACAATGTGGAAAGCATTGATGGTCAACCTGGTGCCTTCACCTGCTATTTGGATGCAGGCCTTGCC